AAAGCAGCATGTTGGGCCTGGCCTGGACTGATTTAGACATCCAGGAGACTAGGAAAGCGTAGGAAATGAAGGGAATTTCCCCAGGGAAGAGAGAGACAAGATAGAAGAGCTTAAGTGCCCAGATAATTACGAAGCATGACCTGATGATTTACCGCCAGGCGGGCTGGCTCCTCTGACGGCCTCCACTGCCCGTCCTTCTGGGCCCCCCATGCCCTAGAGACCAGCCGTGGGGAAGGCAGCGAGGCAGTGGGCAGTGCCCCACGCCCAGCCTCCACATTGTCTCCTGGAGTTTCTCTCCCACGTAGGCTTTTGCAGGAGGCACCGTGAAGGGGGCCAAGCTTCACTCTGTGCCGGGCTCAGACATCTGGTATCCGGGTGGCCTCAGAGAACTCCGACCTGACCCAGCCCCTTTCCACAGACCGAGGGAAAGGGGCTGTGAGATCAGGCCCTCACAGACAGTACCCTAGCCTGTACCTCTCTGTTCACAGTTGCAGGGACCTTAGTGGACAGCTAAAAAGCAAGACCGCTGCCTGTCCCTCCCACCTGAAAGAGGGCTCCCATCCGTTCTGACTTGAAGGCTAGTCTCCTTAGTGGAACGTTTATTGTTGTGGTTTGTTTCGGGACAGGGTCTCACAGTCTAGTTCTAGCTATCCTGGAACTTGCTGTGTAGACCAGATGGGCCTTGCACTCGCAGAGATCCCCCTGCTTCTGCTCCTGGAGTCCTGGGATTAAAGGCGTGCGCCACCATGCTTGGGATCTCTTGGCGAGCCTTGCAGATCCACAACCCTTTTTCATTTTATTAGGGCTCTGTGTCACCACCTAGACGCCGACTCGCCCTCCACTCACCACCTATACTGTGGGCTTGCAGCCCTTGTGGTCCTTTACCCCCGTGTCCACACTGGCAGCTCCTTGGGCAGGATGGCACTAACCACTCATGGTCTTACAGCCTGGCTCGGGTGCGAAGGAACTGGAGGGAAGGTCCCCATGCCTCCACGTGCAGCACCTGACTGGGGCTTCTCCCAGGGACTCTCTCCAGTGCCACGAAACACAGTGCCCTCTAGGGTTGATCCATGCGTATGGAACTACGGCGGCTAGGTAAAGGTGGTTTTCTAACACTCAGACCGGCCTGAGTGTTCCTGCAGACAGGATGGTCCCACTGCAGCTACCTTGTCCCTCATCTTCCTGTTTGTCGTTCACCTTCTGGGGTCTGTGATCAACATATACAGTATGTCTTTGTCCAGTGAAGTGGGCGTGCTGCAGCCTGGGTATAGCCGTATAACACGTGTGCACGCAGGCTCTTTGTGGGCCGGTGGGTGAGAGCTGTGTATCCGGGGGCCCATTCCTCATCCGCCTTGGGCCACGGTGTCTCCACCTGCCTCACTCTAGCTCTGATATTGGCAGGTAACTGGAAGGTTCTAGAGTCCAGATTTGAAGCAGCTGCCTTGAAAGCATTCCTGGGCTTCAGCCTGGGACCCTGCTTCGGAAGTCTCCCTAGAGATCAGGAGGACTGACCCACAAAGCTGCAGGTGTCTGCTGTGTAGGTAAGACACTAGGAGCAACCACCCACTTCCCCAGGCCAGATGCCGTGCGCTGTCACCTGGTGGGCACTCGCGCAGTGCCCAGCCCAGCCCACCAGGTTCCTGGCACATGGGAGGCAGGTGGACGAACACACACACACACACACAGAGAGAGAGAGAGAGAGAGAGAGAGAGAGAGAGAGAGAGAGAGAGAGAGAGAGAGAGAGAGAGAGGAGAGAGAGAGAGCGAGAGAGCGAGAGAGCGCGCGAGCACTGACTTGTATGCCAGGCCAGACATGGCCTCTGCTTTCTTTTTTCCTTTGTGTCCTAGATTTTGGTTCATGAATGCTGTTCCTTTTGCACTGGGAAAAAAAATTAAAGGGACAGAATTAACCATCTGTCCAGAGAGAAACTGACCCTGCCTAAGTTACCACTCCATCTACCAAAATGTGTATGATGTGGAAGCAATTGGCACCGTCCGCCAGCATGCACAAGGCTCTTAACAGAAGCGGACACCATAGGGACTGTCGAGGCCAGTATTCCCCTGGTCCAGACAGCTAATGACCACAGCAGTGGTGCCACTTTGGGGCAGGACCCTTGTGTGCTAGAATGTTCTGAGTCTTTTCTCTGAAAAGAAGCCAGGACTGGTTTTCCCTGGAACCGAGGCCTGTTAGGTTGGTGTCACAGACACTGGCATCGTTTGGGACACTTACCTAAGCATTCCAGGTGGGAGTGCAGATGGCCTTGTGCCTGGCGGTGGCTTGATTTTTTTTTTTTTTTTTTTTTAGACTCAACTGGACATTAGTGGGAGCTGGCAGTTGCTAGTAGGAGACTTCATGAGAGTGCCTGGTGGATGGAGAGGAAGCTCACACCTGATATAAGTAGCTGCTCTTAGATACGAAAGTGTAGCTCAGAGAAAACAGGTTCCTGGAGGCCACACAGCCTGGGAGATTCTGCTTGGCTACTTGGCTTTGGATAGAGCCGAACCTCTCCCAGGGACAACCGTTCTGCCAACCTAGATGGGTATTATGGCCCCACTGGACCCTGCAGATACACCTAGTTGCATGGTTGTGAGTTCAGGTAGAAATGAGGCTGGGGTAGGGCTGGGCCGGGCCCCCAGAGCCTTCTGCCTCGTGTTTGGTCTGACAAATTCAGCACTACCTTGATGGGCCATGAACCATGAAAATGGTCTAAGGTGGCCCTGTCACACCAGTAACTATACCATGGAGCATAAACTCTAAGGGGCAGAGGGACAGCTTTGGGAGGCTCACCAGCCTGAGAGGGAGCAGTGCAGCTCTGTGGTTTATTCAGAGGCTCTTTTGGCAGATAATGAAGTATCTGTCATGCTTGGATCCCAGTGGGGTCCCCCTGTCCGGGTCCCTGGAGATCACTCGGCTTTGCTGTTTCATTGTTTCCGTGGGCAGAGTGGGTGTCCAAAGTTAAAGGGAGCTCAGCAAAGCCCTCTGCAGCTGGGGAGCCCCTGGAGCAGCCGTCAGAGCTTACCAGTTACCTACAGCCAGGTGCATTCCCGTGTTCCTAAGGGTGGAACCAGGGCCCTCAGAACCAGTCTTGGGCTGTAGGCAGGAGCTCTGTACTGTCAGCATGGGAATTGTATGACTCCCTGTGTCCAGAGTGGGCCCGAGGTGACTTGTGCAGCCTCGGCCACTGACCCCATAGGGCCATGTTCAGCCCCACCAAGGATCTAGTGAGATGTTTCCCATGGCTGAACTTCTTCATCCTGTGTCAGCTGGCCTTGTACCTGTGACCTTGTCTAGTTAGAGACATGAAGCTGTGCTGTTTAGAAAGCAGGAGGGCTCTTCTTCTGACTCTGTGGGCACCCCGCCATCTTGCTTGTGGAACCTCCCCCTCTTTGAGCCCGAGCAAGTGCAAGCTTTACTGGTTTCAACGCCACTAAGGTTCTTTTCCTAGGGAGGCCTGGGAGCCCAAGAGTTGGGTCCTGCCCATGTCCTCCCGGTGAGATTAGGACACAGGGTTGCCTGTCTAGGCTGCAGTATCAGTGAGCAATGGACAGCTGTTCTGAGATAATTAAATTGGGTAATCTGTATACCGTGGGCTGAGAAGTAGGGGGGTTTTACTTTCGGTCCAGGCTAAAAGAAGAGATGGGAGGGGTCAAGATGTAAGGATTGGAATGGCCACGGGACATTCCCTTCTCAAGAGATAGGGTCAGAGGCTTGGACTTAGCAGCCCCGGCCCTGGGCTCTCCTCTGCCCTCTTGCCCACTAGCTTCTCTGGGACCTTCAAAGCCCTGTGTGGATGAAGAACAGCACAAAGCTCTTGTGGGCTCTCAGTTCCACCTGCAGATACTGGCGGCCTCTGGAGATGGAGGGAGCCGAGCAGTTCCCAGTGGGTCTCAGGGTCTAGCACATCAGTAAGGAGCTCCCAGCGAGTCCTCTAGTTTCTAGGTCTTTGAGAGTTCAATGAGAAATCGCTCTCTGCAGGTAGTGCTGTAAGCAGGGTGATGTGACAATCTTCACTGCTTTTGGCTGGTCCATGGGAGAGTAGCCTCTGGTCCTATGGTGACAAATTCTGGAGAAGACCACAATCCTAAGAGGATACCCCGAGCCTTCTTACAACCCAGAGCTCATGGAAGTGTGGATGCCTGAACCCATGGCAGGCTCAGGAGGGCAGGAAAGAAGCAGGCAATTGTGCCCGAGGCCAAAACACCCAAGAGACATAGGAGGAGGGGAGATTCCGGGAATCATACTGACCAGGTCTGACCCCTGGTCTTGGTATCCATTTATCAGTCCTGGCCTGTCCCCCTTCCTGGCTCTTAATGACTACTGAAGTTACTTCTTGGTGATGCCCCAAAGTCCTGTTTGTACCTCATAAACCCCAGATATCAAGTGTCATTCCCAGAGTAAGGCAAAAGATGGGACACTTGTGGATGCCAGGCCCAGGGATATATGCTAGTCCGCGACATCCTTGTCTCAAAGATCTCAAGTCTACAGGGGCAGTACAGGCACTGTGAGGTGAAGGGAGGGACTCTCGGGGCCTGGTACTGTCTGACAGTGTAGGCCGGGGTGGTCTATGGTAGTAGGAGAACATTCTGGCCCTGGGGAACTGTGGCCGCGGGGCTGGGGCGAAGGGGAGATCTTAGCCAGGCACTGGCAGCCGAGCCCCATGAGCCCTTCCTCTGTAGTCACAGAGGACTCTAGGGTAGGGGTTAGGTCTTCTCTGTGATTGGCTGCCTAGGAGCCATGGCAGGGAGTTGGTTTGGAATGTGGTTCCTGGCCGGCTGGAACTGGTTAAAGCCAAGCATGACCTTCTGTGCCCTTCTCTGTCTCCTGTGACCTGAAACTCCAGGCCAAGGCCACAGTGAATGGTGTGTGGGTCTTCTTATCTGGAGATGGCTGTGGGAGGGACCAAGGAAGAGAAGGCCACACTACCTCTGACCCTTCTCTCTGTCCAAGTCACATGGCCTGCCGAGCTGACACCTCTGTTTTGATTTCCTTATGTCTTGCAGAACATGGCTGCTCCAGAAAGCCTCCTAGGAAAGTGAAAGCCTGTCATGTGTATCAGAAGACCCCGTGGAAGCCGGGCGGTGGTGGCGCACGCCTTTAATCCCAGCACTCGGGAGGCAGAGCCAGGCGGATCTCTGTGAGTTCGAGGCCAGCCTGGTCTCCAAAGCGAGTTCCAGGAAAGGCGCAAAGCTACACAGAGAAACCCTGTCTCGAAAAAAACCAAAAAAAAAAAAAAAAAAGAAGACCCCGTGGGACCTCAAACACAGGTAGCCATCTGCCCCACTTGGGCAGAGTTCTCACTCCATCAGAAACAGTCCTGGATATGATAGTGGACTGGCCGACAAGAATCCGCAGTCGCTTTTTCAGAGGAGACGGGACCAGTCCTCTCCTCAGAGGCTTTACCTGGTGCCAGGCCTGGCCCTGCCCCCAGCCCATCAGGGGCTCAGCCTGGCCTCCACCCAGTGAGAAAGATCCTTGCCCAGGACAGGACGGGACAGTGCCAAGGATTCCAGGCCCCTGCTCCAGCCCCGCCTTCTGCCCTGCAGGCCACGATGACCTGACTTGTCCTCTTGAAGCAGATGGAATCCGGCAGGGACAGATTGCCTGTGGTGGAGGGCAGAATTAGCTCCGAGACAGCCTCTTGCAGCCCAGTGACACAGTAGGCACACCCGGCCCTGTCCTCCAACCCCCCTGCTGCACGTTGTCATCCAGACTGGCTCCGTCAGTGTTTAAGCCTCAGTGTAGTAGTCCACAAAATGGGCAGGGATACCTGCTGGTGGAGATCCAGGCCTGTAAGTGACCCCCTGAATACCTGTAGCTCAGAGGAAAGACCCAGGGAGCCATACAGTCTTTGGAAACTGCAGGTTCCCTGAGGTGGCAGACCGTGTTAATTCGCTGGGTCCAGAGTGTGGCCCCTGTCCCAGCTCTCGCTAGCCTCCCCTCAGCCAGCCTCAGCAGGCTCAGCATCTGCTCTCTGTTACTCAGAGCCATCCAGTTGGAGTCTGTGCATGGTGGTGATAACTCAGGAGGGTAGGCTGAGAAATGGGTGAAGCTGTGATGCTTTCTCTCATGATAGGGTGTGCAAGAGGCCTCGTCGGTTGGGATGACCTAGCCACTTGGAGGCCTGGACCTGCTATACATCACTTAGGTAGGGCAAGGGCACCCACTCTGCCCTTGGCAGGCTCTGTATGCCACCCACCAGAGGTCCAGTGGCAGCAGTTTGGCCAGAACTCTGAGGTTCTCTGGCATGTCATTACCTCCAGGGACGGCTTCTGTGTGTGGCTCATCCTTGCAGCCTCTAGGTCCTTGGTGACCAGGTCCTTGGAGGAGGGGCAGGCTCAGACCTTTATGAGATTTGAGCCCCAACATTTGGCCGTGAGGCCACATGGATAAAATGGTTTCCTGGCCTTGAGCTACCCCAAGTTCCAGATGGCTCCTAAGCTGTGCCAAGGCCTTTTGGGGGCCCTTACGGGTTGGTGTTCGTAGGAAACAATATAAATGCAAAAAGGGTACTCATGGATGTACCCCAACATCCAACTAGTGTCTCTTTCCTTCTAGGCTTCAGCTTCTTCTTGGACAGTTTTCCCAGGTGACTCTTGAAGCTCAAGGATCATGTCCAACCCAGGTCAGTGGCAGTGTTTTGGCTGTTTATGGAATTCAGGGCCACCTACCCCAACTCTCCTGGATGATATTGCTGTGGGTCCATGCAGCCATGCAGACCTGGAGGTTTGCATATGCTGGGTCTTGGCTGGGCCGTCTCAACTCCTGTCAGCCTCTTTCTGGGACTCTAGGATGTCTGGACATATCCAGGCATACCCAGGACACTAGAGTGGGCCATCTTTCTGCCCCAGCTATCAAGAGGGAGATAGAACAGTGAGATGACCCCAGGACTGTGAATTACCTGCAGCATCACTCAGGACTCAGTGGTGAAGGTCCTTGCTTCCTCTGCCACGGATACCTTGCAGTTAGTTATAACTGGGAACCTGTGTACTTGGGGTCTCTTGTGCGCAGAGGTGGCGGCCAGCCTGGAAGCTGTGCTCACCCTTGTCCCCTCCGGCAAGGAGCCAGATGCTTTGGACCCACCTAGATGAATCTAGATCCAAGGCATTGGTGTGGCCATAGTCAGAGGCAGTCTCATCTCCCAGGGTGCAGGCAGGGCCCCACGCCATCTTGTATAAGCCAAAACACCCTGTATTTGGGCCTGAGACCCCTCTGCTATCTGTGCATTGGTGTGTATGGGCTGACACACACACACTACCCTGGTCTCTGTGTCTGCACCTGGGGTCAGGGATGCTAGCCAGTGCCTGAGAGTAGGCACTGAATAGACAGTTTGGGGTAGGGCGGGAGACCTCCAGACCTCGGAAGATGGGACAGGACAGAGCGGGAAAGCACAGGCAGAGATGGAAGAGAGACTGAGCAGAACACCTGGACATACCTCAGGAGTGCAGTTGGCCCAGGTATCCCGGGGGACCTAGGAGCTCTTGGCCAAGGGGCTCTGATTTACAGATCCTGGGCTTTCCTAAGTACCCACCCTAAGCCAGACCTGCCTATGATACCCCATCTCAGCTATAGGCAGATTGTGTACACACAATCCCCCAGTGTCCCATGGACATAGATGGGGTGCACCTTTTACAAGGGCTCAGTCCCGGAATGTGCCCCCAAGTCCTGAGTGCTAATGTATGTGGGAGACTGTGGGTGTAGGGCTCCAGGAGCAAAGATGGGAGTCTCAGAGGGTCCTGGGCCAAGACCTGTGAGGAAGAGTCCAGAATTGAAAAGGATGGGCTGGGCTGGGGAGAGTGGCCAGTCCTGGTCCATGACCCAGCCCCTACTTAGCACCAGGCACACAAGATGCACTGGATGTATGCAGTGGGTGCTTACTCAGTGCAAGTGTTAGTGAGGGTTAATTTCAGAGACACCCCCTCCATACACAATATGGGGCTTACCATCCCATTCTCCTTTCCAGGGGCCTCTATGGGTAGAGAGAGCTAGCCTCACCTCACCTGTGGCCTGGGGACACTGGGCCTTGAGGTCTTTGAGGCACCTGCTTAGACTAGGGGGCTGTGGCAAGTTTGGGGCTCTAGGATTCAGTTGGCAAGGTTGGAATTGCACCCCGAGAAATCTGCCAGACTGGATCTGGGCCTGGGAGGTCTGAGCACAGGCAAGTCCCTGGCCTTGTGCTCTCTCCATGCTTGTCTAGCCAGCCATGACCCGCACCGTGCTTAGAGTGTTGGCCCCGGCAAGTAGCCAAGCATAGCCAACCACTGGCCTAGCAAGTGGTGGCCACATGGCCTTGCTCAGTCTCTGAGGGAAACTGAGGCTTGGGGGCGGTGGGCTGGACAGCCAAGGTAGATGCACACTGGAAGTTATAGATGGGGCTTCCAGATTCCCAAGGTCTGGCACTCCCAGCCTAGAGACCAGCTGCCCCCAGGGTCGTCTGGAGGGTGAGAAAGGACACAGATTTATGTAATAGCTGGATACTGTTGTGTTTTTTAAAATAAGGTCTCTAGCCTAGATTTGAACTCTCGATCCTCTGCCTTCGCCTCTGGAGTGCTTGGATTATAGGTGTGAGCCACTACAGCCCGTTTATATAGTGCTGGGGGCTGAACCTAGGATTTGAGACTTGCTGGGCAGGTACTCCACCGTCTGAGCTCCAACTCTAGATCTCTTAAAAAAAATTTAAAAGAATTCTTAGCCGGGCAAAGGTGGCACACACTTTTAATCCCAGCACTTGAAAGGCAGACGCAGGTGGATCTCTGTAAGTTCGAGGCCAGCCTGGTCTACAAAGGGAGTTCCAGGACAGCCGAGACTACACCGAGAAACCCTGTCTCGGGGGGAAAAAAAGGATTTTTAAAAAATCAGTGTGTATCAGTGTTTTGCCTCCATACGTGTCTGTGTGCCATGTTTGTGCCTGGTGCCCGTAGAGCCTAGAGGAGGGCACTGGGTCTCCTGGAACTGGAGTTCCAGATGGTTGTGAACCACCGCGTGATGCTAGGGATAGAACCGGAGTCCTCTGGAAGAGCACAGAGCGCTTTTAACTGCCGAGCCATTGCTCCAGCGCCAGGATGCTCTTTATCCAGTCTTACAAATACCTTGCATTTGCTCGTTGGCCCCAGTGCAGTTACTGACCCACACAGACCCAGCCTTGGTCTAGCACCAGCTCGTGTCTCCCTGTGGCGCTCCAGCCTCCAGCTCCCAAGGACCCCCTGCCAGCCAGGCTGAGTGAGAATGATTCTGGAGAAATGTTCCTGGGAAGCTAAAAGACCCCTGGGAAGGCACCGTTGGCCTTCTGGGGTGTGCAGCTTCCTGGAGCTCTCTCAGAGACGCTCTGATCCCTCGGAACAACTCTGTGACCCCTCACAATGTCGCTGAGTTTTGTATTCCCTCGTTCCTAAAACAGGGGAGGATGAAAACTCCCATGCTGCTGTGTGACTGGGGAGGGGGGTGAGGGTGGAGAGCAAAATCCCAACGTTTCTGTGCTCCACCCTCTAGCCAAGGACCACGTTGTCACGAGGACAAAGTGAACCCTACTTCCGAGCGACTTAGCAGTGCCCGGCACATTGAAGGTACAAAATGCTCACACTTGCTGGGCCTTGTGGCAAAGGCCTGTGATCCTAGTGACTTGGGAAGTCGTTGAGGCCGGCCTGAGCTGTAGAGAGTGGATCCACGTTCAGACTGGGACACTTAGCGAGGCCCTCAAGATAAGACTTTCAAAGGGTTAGAGATGTCACTTAGTGGTAGAGGCCTGGGTTCAGTCCCCAGTACCACCAACACCCCTCCCCCCAAATTGTATTCATACCTATGGGTCCTTAGTGTGTACCCAGCACTGACTCATGAGTTTACAGCAAGGGGACTTGAAGCCAGAACCCTGTGGCTTCCCACTGAGGAGAGGCCCTTAGTGCTGGGAAAAAAAAAAAAAAAAGAGGCCGCTGTGCTATTACCGCCCCAGAGTTCTCAGGACTGCTATGGTTGTACAGGTGATGAGTGGGGGTCTACCCTTGCCATGTCGCCGTGGCAGTTTCACCCTGCCAAGACGATGCGGACTCCTCTCAGTTCCACTCCTGTTCTGTTTGTTTGTTTTTGTCTTGTCACAGGCCCCGCCCTGGATTCATGTCGACTGGTCCCTGTCAGAGGCCCGAGCCCTTGGCTGTGTGAGTTGCATCTCTCCCATGACCCAGCCACCCTGCCAGGTGGCTTCTGTGACTAGTATCCCTGCCCCCTGGGCCTCAGACTAGCTACCCGTGAAGTGGGGTTGTACGCCACACAGATTTTTTGCTCTGCGTAGGTCAGAGGGAGACAGCCCGAGGTGGGACCAGTACCCGCTAGAGCCGTCCTCTCCGCCTCTGCTTTATAACTGGATTCTGAATAAAAGAGAAACGGGGGTGGTGAGGAGACACAAAGGAGCCCCTCCAACACCTAGATCCATTCCTCCGTGGGGCTCTGGCTGATCACTGAGTGCCCACTGCCCTCTGCCTAGAGAGGCTTGGCGACCCGCCGTGGTGACGGGGCAGTGGGACCCCTGGCCACAGGCCAGAAAGGGGGATGTGCGTAGATGTTGGTCGCTTGTTTAAGAAGCAGCTGGAACAAGACAAGGAAGCAAGGGCTGTCCCTCGCTGGATCCACAGAAAGTGGGGAATAGGGCGTGGCCATACGCTCCTGAAGGAAGTCCCCCTGGCATTCTGTTGATGGCCACTTTGGCAACTGACCCCTTGACCTGTGGGCCCCAGACGGGAAGGAGCTATCTAGCCCACTAGTTCTTGGAGCACAGGATGGCACTTGAGCCCCCTGGCTTGGGGCCTCCCCAACCTGGGCAGATAAGGACATGTCCTGCAGAGACCCTAGGGCAGAGAATTGTAACCCAGAAGAGCTCAGGCCCGGGACGCCTCACGGCTCGTGGGACCAACTGTCACCATAAAGTGGGAGAACCTCGGTGCTTTTTAACAGGCACACCACCCGGAGCCCCTTGAAGGGAAGTATGGAAGTCTCTGGAAGCCCTGAGTATGCTTGGAGCTTGGGCGGGAGGAAGGCTCTGGAAGGAGCCTTGTCTCATTAGGTGATTGTCCCTCCTCCCTGCCAGGCATCCACTGGTCCCACCCTCTGGCTTTCACGGCCTTTGTCTTCCAAGGGTGCCACAAAATGGCCGACACAGCCCTCCGCCATTTTGTAGCTGAAACGAGCAGTAGCCTTGGAGAGGAGGAGACCCCTGCTTCCTGCCTGCCCCGAGTGGCCTGGACAGAGCCCAGGACCAGCCCCCACCCTGCTTGGCTTTGGCCATGGCCGCCCCGGGCTTGGCACAGCCAGCTGCTTGGCAAGGCAGCCTGGGAGTCCTGGCCTCTTACCCAGATCCACTGATTCCTTGCTACCCACCAAGCAAACGAGAAGGAGGCTGCACACATCAGAATCCGGAAAACCCGCCACTAACGCTGTACTTTTAGAGGGAGTCCTTGTCAGGGGTGGGGCCAGCATGGGTGGTTCTAGGAATGATGTCTGCACTGTGGTACCGGGTTCCTAAGTGGAGCCATCAACAAGCATAGGTTTGAGTTAGGTCCCCCCGAGAGGAAAGCCTCCTGCCTCCACATGCCCTGCCCAGGGACCTTGGTACTCCCTGGCTGAGTATGGTACAGAATGCTAGGATTTCACAATGGCCAGACCGTCTCCTGGCCTGGGTTGCCTATGATGTTGTTAAGTAGTCCAGGTGCTTGCTAGAGGAGGCTGCTTTGCTCCAAGAGCAAGGCCATCCACCAGACCGCTGAGGCTCTGAGCTACGTGAAGCTCCCCCCGCCAACACTGTTCCTCTGCCTTCCCAGAGATCAGAAGCAGCACGTCCCAGAGTGATGCCATAATGATGCCATCCAGGCCCCCAGCACCCCCAGCACCCCTGAGTCATCATTATACTGACAGTGCATTCCAGCTTCCCAAGGTAGGACAGACAGGGCAAGCTCTGGGAGCTGGGAGTGGCCAGACCGCCCCGCCACCTCTGTGATGGGGGTCCATTAAAGAAGCTACGAGGTAGTCTCCCGTGAAGTAGGGAAGAGGGTATGGCATAAAATGCCTTTGAATCTTCCTGGGCAGCGTGGGGGTTGCTCCATGGCCCTGCCTGGCCCTGTACTCTCTGCCAGGATAGCAAGAAGCTATGTGTAGACAGCAGGGCCTTGCTGTCTCATCGAGGAAGCTAGCTGGATGCCGGCCGGCCGGCCCCAGACTTCTTTCCCACAGCTCCCAGGAGGAACATTCTGTCACCCTGAAGTGAGGCTTGTTCAGGCCATGCCCTCCTTCAAGGGAGCTCCGACAGAATGTCCCAGCGCTCACCTGCCCAGACCAGTGCCTTCTCATGTGCCAGGCCACGATAGAACCTCCCGGGGTCCTGGGGTATAGGCTTCCTAGAACAAGAAAATTTTCCCAAGGGAGGCCAGGCTCAGAGGGAGTTGGCAGAGGGGGGCCGTCAAAGAGCAGTCAGAGTACATGCTTCACGATGTGGCACCTGTAGTCAGTTCCCACGCACCTTCCTATGACCCGGACAGTGCTTGAGTGGAGAATACCTGCTGCTCAAAGCTGGTCACCTGTAGCCGAAATGTCCAGCCCCAGGCTGAGTCCAGGGAGCAGGAGGCCCCACACAATGGCCTTTCCCCCAATGTACAGCAGGCCATCTGTGCTTTGCCCTAGGCATAAGCCAGCAGCTTCCTTATGCCTCCGGCTGCTGTCCATACCACAGAGCTATCTCACTGGCTCTCCAGAAAAGGTACAGAGCCAGCTGACCTTCGCCTCGGACCCTGTTTCTAGATGGAGAGAGCTAGGCTCAGATCTGGGCCTCCCCAGCCAGCTCTAGACCCTGAGTCTCCCCTTGTCTCTCGTGAGTTCTGTGAGTCACAGCATTCATCACCTTTGTTCTAGGGGTGGGTGTGCCACCAGGGTACCACAGGTCTCGAGTCTACCCAAAGCCCAGTGCAGGTCAGATCCGTCTTGGGATCAGCATGAGGTGTGTAGGGCTGGAGAGAGCCAGGCCCGGGGCATTTAGATGCTAGCTCCAGGTTTGACCTTGCATCCCTGGGGTACACTTTTGGAAGAGGGTATTCAAGACTGTGGGGCGCTTCCCCACACACCCGCCAGAGCAGTCCAGTCTGGAGCCAGGGGACACTGAGCAAACCTGGGTCATCTTCGCTCAGATAGGATCTTGTAATGTGTTTGCATTCATCACGTCTCTAAACTTCACACACAAGCGTTTCTCGTCTTGGTGACTGAGATTTTGGTCACCCCCAACATGCCTGTCTTAGCCAGACCCAAGATGGTCCTCAGTGGGCATGGCCTGCCTCTGGGCACACTGACCCAGGCCTAGTCAGTGAGCATTCATCTTGTTAACTTTATGGGCCGTGTTCACAAGGAGGCCCGCCTTCTGCCCAGCCGGATGCCACCCTCCCATCGTTCCCAGACTCACTGTTGGCACGGCCTACTGAGCAGAGACACTGGTCGCTTTATGGGAGAAACCTAATCAGGGAGGCCAGCATGGGGGGCGGGGGCTGCCATGAAGGGGGGGGGGTCTGGCTCTTGGTGGCCCCAAGCCAAGCCTGAGGTGACTTCAGGGTGACACCGTCTGTCTGCCTCTCTCTCTCTCTCTCCAGACATCCGCCCAGCTCTGAAAGGGCCACCTGCCTGCCTAGGTCTTCAGCGCACCTGTCCTGGCCAGCCTGGCTCCTCCTCCAGGCACCCTGCCCGTGGGCAGACACTGCCGGACTGGGGCAAAGCTGAGAGCTGGCAGCTGGCAGATGGCAGGGCGTCTGCTGACTGCTCACTCCCTGGTGACCTGTTCAGGATCGCCATTCATGTGCACTGCCCGCCCTGCCACTGGCCCTCCCCCAGCCTCGCCCCACCGGGTCCCTCTGGTTTGTTTCAGGACCCCTTCCCTGTTACCCCTTGAGAAAGGAGGCATTTATGTGGGTCCCAACCCCCCAGGGCGGAGGCCAGTGGTCAAGGCCTGGCTGTTGTACGGGTAAGACTGGCACATCTCAACGCCCCGCAAGTACGGAACTGGGCCTTTTCCTCGCTCACTCACAAATGGCTCTGGAGTCCAGACCAGGAAAGGGCGACCGTTCCTGAAGTCTTGTGGAACCAGTGTAAGCCCCCGGTGTAGGGCAGAGCTGCATAAGATCTGAGGAGACCATGGTAGCCATGCCTGCCACCAGAGCATGGAGAGATACCTGAGAGAAATGGATCCAAGACAGGCACCTGTGGGTCAGCCTCACTAGACTCCGAGCCCTGGGCAGAGTGAGGCCCCCTGGAGAGCAGGAGCCTTGTGGAAAGAAACAGGAAGAACAGGTCAGCGGTTCCTGGCAGAGGGACAGACCAGGGCAAAAGGCAGGAGGTGGGGAGGGCCTGGGAGATGGCCAAGGAGGGCAGAGGAGGCTTGCCCAGGGCATTTTGCTGCTTTGTGGGTTGGGGGAGGGGCCGATGGGCACAGTGGGAAGGATCAGAGAAAGTGTCTGTGTGATGGATAGCTTGGCTGTCTCGGGGGTGCAGCCAAGGCTGGTAGTCAGGGAGAGGGCTTTCCCACCCCTGTGTCCTCACCAGACCCTCAATAGCCAATGGCCTCATCTTCCTTTCCTTGAGCTGTGCGGGAATAACAAGGCTTCTAACAAACCACCCTGGCTTGATGGACAGAACCGGGCAGATCCCAAGCAGGGCTTGTCTCTGTGTTCCGCACCCTAGGCTCGGCTCCAGAGCCCTGTGGCCGGCCAGGCCGCTTCTCACTGCCACCATGCCCCTGCTTGGCCTTCCCTCTTTCTGCTGGCTCTGCCGTGATGCGTTGGCCAGAGTGGGTCCAAAGGAGGTAAGATAGCAACTTGATCCATGGAGCAAGCCTGTGTGGTCCAGTGGGCCCCTTCACTGGGTCTCTGCTCTTGGGGGAGAGAGGCATCACTTGCCCTATGTCCTAGGGAAGCCACATCTCACTGACAACCTCTGAAAGGATTAACTCCCCTTCCCGGGTCCAGTTAACTACCACAGTGTACATGAGGGCGAGCATGAGCCTGTCCCCTCATGGTGCTTTCTCCCTCCCTCAGACCTCACAGCCAGTGGCCAGGAAGGCCACTGGCCACCCACATAGACATGCTCGGCCACCACGGATGAGGTTTTGACTCATAGTCTCTGCCGAGCATGTCCAGCGTGCGCGGGGCTGGTTTTAGAAGCCATTCCATCCAAGGCTTTGCGTGCAGTGTGTCACCAGGCAGCAGACAGGACTGGATGATAATGTCATTGTGCTGTGGGCTATCAGGGTGCAGCCAGGGCGGGCATCTGGGGGGCCAGGCTTTCTCCCTTCAGAGGCTGATGGTCATTGCTTTTGTTTCTAAACCCAGGCAGGTCAGGAAGTGGTACCAAGCAGGAGCTTCTGCGTGCAGCTGACTCCCCTGTGGTGAGTGGGACCCCGCTGTCCTTCCTTGGAAAGTAGGGGGCCATGGGAGACCTCAGAGTAAGAAAGGATAAGGTCAGAACCACATCGGTGACACTGCTCCAGCACCCCAGTTTAGATGCCTTTGCCTGGAGGCCTGTACTCCCCCCCCAGGACGGTGCCTCCCGCCAGCAGACTGCCCCCCAGATGATTCATCTCATCTACCCATAATGCACTGTAATATGATGCTCTTTGACCCCCTCTCAGCCTACCCAGGCTGGACATGGTTTAACAGAGCTGCGGTTCCATTCATTACTGGCTCTGAGTGGAAGAGAAGCGGCCTCCCTACCCTGAAGATACACTGTCCGGAGGCTCACGCCCTTCAGGTCACCCAGCCTTGAGAGCTCTCTGGGGACTTCAAAGGCAACTCTTTTCTCTCTGTCCCCCACCGCCATCACGCAGCCCTCCAGTGTGATGCTAATACCCCCCATGCCACCCAGCATTGATGGAGGACCTGCCAAAAGTGTCGTGCCTAGAGTAAGAAGAAAGGCCAGATGAGGGGAACAGAATCACTTCTGTTCCCAGGTTGGGCTAAGGCACAGGGGGTGGTAGTCATGGTCAAGGAGGGACCAGGATGCTTGCCTCCCGTTATTTCTCTCCCACAGCTTGGGCTCTGCATGGCTTGGGTTGCAGTGAAGCCCCAAACCTCGGGGAGGGTAGGCAGGGACAGGTGCAGGACAGGCCCTTTTGGGGCTGTCGCAATGGCACACCAGCCTCCTGCTGATTGCTAACTTGAGTGGCCAAGGAGCTGCTGAGAATCCCCAAGAGCCAGCTAAAGGGACCCCACAGAAATGCAAGGTGTGCATAGGATCACCCAGTGAAAAGACAGCCAAGACCTTCCAGGGAGTCCTGCTCACCATACTGTATCCTGCCGGCTAGGGGCAGAACCCCAAGTGTCGAGAGGCCCCTGTCAAGGTGTGCCTTCTTCAAGGTGCTTCTGAGGGGCTCAGATGGGGATGGCCAAAGTGGCCTTCAGTCATTCTCCCACAGCCAGGTGCATCCTGGGAACTGACAAGGTTAACTGTGGCCAGGCAGTGACGCTCCTCCACCTTCCCACCTGGTCCATTCATCATGGATGGGAACATGAGGCGGGTGCCTGAAACACACTCTCTTCCCATAGAGGCCTTCCTGCCTTGCTGGCTCTACTTGGACCATCCTGGGGGATATTCCACCTGTTAGTGAAAGGGTCCAGGCTCGAGGCAGGGGATGGCACACCAGTGGCTCACATAGATGTCCTCTGGGGCTGGACAGTGCCTGCCCACCGAGGACCGGGCCACACTAGCGCTCTGGGGCCTTGTTCCCAAGCCACTCTGCCTCATAGACTCCAGATCTGGGTACACAGTGTGGACTTAAACCTCATGGCTCCATTTTGACCCAGGGTCCTCTGACTTGCTCCTGTGACCCTTGGCAGGGAGGGAGGGAGGGAGGGAGGTGTGGCATCATGCAAAGAGCAAAAGCTGCCAGGCCTCCTGGAACCGGGCACAGAGCTTCCCTCTGCATTGCCGGGCAAACCTGCCTGAGGCCTGTAAGCAGCAGCCCCTTCCCCTCTGAAGGCAGAGCCACCTGGGCCTAGAAACTCAGCCTTCAGAGCCTCAGTTTCTTCACAGTGACCCCACCTCACAGCTGGAGGATTAGATGACTCTGCCCAGCCTGGTGCCTGCCTAGGAAAACTGGAAGGAGGCCTGTAGTGGAGTCTCCAAGTCTGTGTTGGTACCGAAGAGCAGGGAGCTCCAGAAGCATCTTACAAGGCGGGAAGAATGCTCCGGCACACTGTTACTGCTCAGCTGGGGAGGCTGGAAGCCTTGCTTATAAGATGGGCTTAAATACACTGGCCCAAGGTTCCCCCAGCAAGCTAGTGGCTGTGAGCAGTGTGTACAGGCTGACTGTTGCCCCAGAGTGGATCTTACCTGTCCCACCTCACGGTGAGCAGTACAGGCCACACCAGGCTGCCTGGCCTTACCAGGGCGTCCTCCCTGCTGGGCTCTGTCCAAGGCTCTGGGAGCCCCAAGCTCAGAGCCAAGCACAGAGCCCCTGCTGGCTTCAGGAAGTGCTAGTCGCCAAGGACAGACTGGCCATCAGTGTCCAGCCAGGGTCTGCACTTCCGCCCAGCTGGCCGCCATGGGGAGCTAGGCTGCCTCCCACAAGGAAAAAAATGGTTTTGAGCCTTCTGCAGCAAGGTCACTTGAGGCCACCCTGAGCGGGGAGGCAGGGACAGACCCAGAGCCCTCAAGGAGGGGCTCTTCCTGTGTAAGAGGAGGAGGGTACATGCCCAAGGCCTCTTCCTAGCTGGAGTTCTGGTGCCTTCAACTCTATGCTACAGCTGAGTGTACAGAGGCTGGGTCTCAGGGGTGGGCACTGGAAACCCCCTGGACCTGGCTGGCCTTTGACAAGCGACCACCCTTCCCCCATTGTGGCCATTCCTGCCTAGTGACTGGTCAGCTTTCCTCTCTCCTTCCCCACCCCGCCCCCTCACTTCCTTCATTCTCTCTGCTTGGTGATTTTGTTTTAAGTGTCCTGGCCCACTTTGGGGGGAATCCCAGTCCGCCGCTGGCTGATACCCTCAGCAACGAGCTGGCCATGTTGGGCCCCTCACCATACTCCCAGCTCTCCTCCTTCCTCCAGGAGGCATCTCAAGACGCCGTAACATCCAGCTCTACACCAAGACTGACTGACGGCCTTTGGGGTGAGGTAGTAGGTTGTATGGTTTTGGGCTCTGCCCCGCTCTGCGGTAACTATACAATCTACTGTCTTTCCTGAAGTGGCCGCAATATCTGCAGTGGATCCGCCGGCCCTGGCTTGGGAGGCTGAGGGAGGTACAGGGGTGGTAGTTGCCATGCACAAAAAAAGTCCAACAGGGACCTTGGACAGTCCCTTGACCTCCTTGGTCTGTTACTCATCTGCAAGGGTTGGGGCGTGGGGGTGAAAGCAGACATGTAGCCTTTCCAGGCACCTCCTCTCCCTTGACCACACCGAAGGGCTTTACTTCCCCTGACCTCATCATATTAGGCCTGGACTCACAGCTCTCCCCGAGGAAAGGGTCTGGGCTGGACCTTCACCTCTGTTCCAGAGTTGCTACACACTCCACACTTGGCACATGCCCAAGCTTTCCAGCTCAGGGTCAGGTCTCCGAGACATAGAGACAGGGCATCTTTTCCATGAAGGAAATGGGGGGCAGGGTCTCAGCATGGCTCAGTACCCTGGGAGCACAACCATACAACTGGACTGGGTAGGCCACTGTCCCCGGGGTGATGGGTTCAGACACTGGAGGCTTCCCTCATCCGTCTGGTGGGTACAGGTCTCTCTGAATCACTGTCTTCACTCCCCCCCCCCCCCGCCCTGTGCCAGCTGTGCCCTAGGGCTCTGGTGGCCTGTGGCCAGGGTGGGTGGGGAGGGGCTGGGCCTCCTCCAGAACATGGACCCCGCAGGGTGAGGTAGTAGGTTGTGTGGTTTCAGGGCAGTGATGTTGCCCCTTAGAAGATAACTATACAACCTACTGCCTTCCCTGAGGAGCCCAGGAACACATCCGCATGGAGGCCCCCCCCCCCCCCCCCCCCCCCCCCCCCCGCTCAGCAAGCCACATGGAGAGCCTGTGCCACAGATCGGGTCGGGGCTGCAGTGTGGGGGCTGGGTAAAAATAAAGGCTGTGGTGACATGAATTTACACCTGGTCCTCGGTCATTGTGGAAATAAGGCAACCACAGCATTGGGACAAAGCGCTGCCAGAGCTGCTCAGGGTAGCGACTTTCCCTGTCTATCGCATTGCATTTGCCCCTCTGGGACTCGAGCCCTGGACAGGGCACTTGGCCTCTCTCTACACCAGTGGAGCGACAGATCCTGTGTCTCCAAGTCAGTTGTTCACAGCACACCCCAGGCTGGCTCCCAGTGTCTCTCAGCCCGTGGTCCCAACCAGATCCAAGAAATTCCTGTCCTTTCCTGCCTCCCTCCCTTGGGACAGTGTTGGGGTGACCCTGAATGTAGCTCTCCATCCTTAGGCCAAATATCATTTCCCTTTCTACCAGGAACCCTAAGCCTTCATTCAGGCAGCTGTTGGGGGAGGGGTCAGTCCTCAGCTAGGGTTAGCTTAGGAATGTAGAGTCCTGTTCTTTTCTTACCTGACAAGATGCCAAGGGCCCTCTCGCTTGTGGTTGTTGGCATGGCTGGATCGATTCCTTGGCCCTGGTGTCCTGGTCTTCTCCCCATGCTGAATGCCCTTAGTCTCAGTTTCCATCCTGGGTCCTGACCCGCCTCAGCTCTGAGCACCCACACACCTGCATGGGCACGCCTGGGCAGACCAGCAACCTTAGTGCTCATCCACATCCATCCTCGGCTACCAGGCCTCTCAAACACAGCCTGCCTGCCACTCCTGAAGATCTAACGCTGTGCTAGGCCCAGGACTGAGAGTACCCAGAGGAGTCTACGCAACAAGGAGGACTTTCCAAGTAGGGGCTATCTGAGCTGGGTCTTGATGGCTGTGTAGGAGTTGGCAGCTAGACACTCAGAGAAATAGGTGCTCAGACATTCAGTGGAGTGTCCTGTCTCTTCCCTGCCATCTTTTGGGGCCATGGTGGATGATAAACAGTTACCTTTTTGCCTTTGTTCATCCTGTGGTTGGTTAGTCGATCACATCTGTCAGCTCTTGTCCTCTGTCATTTCTGTCCATCCACCCTTGCTAGGCCTCAGGATCTAGAGGGGAGTCCTTCCTGCCCTTCCCTGAGCATAGCCTCGTCCAATATCTTCACCATCCCTTGCCCACCCACCATACTCCTGCTCAGCCCAGCACCCCACCCCTTCATCCCCACACAGCCCCAACCTCTGGTTACCACAGCCAGCTGTGTCTGTGTGAGCAGGCTGGCATAGGGACAAGCCACGCCCACCTCCTGACTCCTACACCGCAGTGGGAGATGGCCTGTGCCCCGCAGAGCTCAAGTCCTCGGAGCACAGACGAGGACACACAGCGGCCACCTGTGGAAGCAGCGGGGGGGGGGGGCACATCTGAGAGCCCCCCAGGAGCTCTGCAGTCAGGGTAGCTTCCTGGGAGATGACATCTGCCCTGTCCCGTGTCCCCTCTACATTCTATTGGCTCTTCTCTGAAAAACTGGCTGTCACTAGAGATAAGGGTGCATGTCGGGGGTCAGGGTGGGAGCTACCCAGCACTCTGCAGAATGGAAGATCTAGGGGCTTCAACCCAGGGAGACCCTGTACTCACTCCCCCACATCCACATCCTACTGAGGGAGCAAAACAGTCCCACTTGAGAGGGTGGAGTCGGTATTCCAGGACACCCCAGATGACAGGGTCTCAGGGAAAGTGCACAGGAAGGGTCCTGGTCCCTGGCCGGACACCGGATGCCACCTGCTGGCCAATCTAAGAAGTGGATCCTGGGCTGGCCCTTGTACCTGGGTCTGATGAGGGTCCGAGAGGATTGAGCAGGCTGGAGGTCCTAGGATACACCCGTCCAGGCAGGCTGGCACTATAATCAGGATGTACATAAGAGACCTTGACGACAAACTAGTTCAAGACCAGGGAGGAGAGCAGATTGGAACTCCGGTGGCCTCATGCAAGGAAGCCAGGCTCCACGTAACCGCTCAAAGCCCAGGCAGCATGGAGAAGTGTAGCTGAGTCATGCAGGAGCAAGACCTGTACATCCGTGCTCCTCCTGGGATGACTCACCAGAGAATGGGGGGGAGGTGGGGGTCTCCTGGGTGTGACAGGTGCAGCAGTGACAGAGGAGCCAACAGTCCTGGGGGTGCTCAGGAGTCCCAGAGCCACAGGCCAGGTCCTTGTGAGACCCACAAGGCTGTTAATGCTCCCCAAACAGTTCTTTCTTTAAAAATTAAAAAAAATCGGATAGAGATTATATAATGAATGCTGCCTATAGCATCGTGATTCAGAAGATATTACATAGCAGAATGAATATAAGCCTTCGTTCACTGTTTTACAAAAGGAAGACCCAGAGTGAGGTCATCTGGGGTTTTATATACATCTGTCTACATCACTCCTGACAGGCCTGTATGGGGGGATTCTTTTTGTGTGTGTGCAGAGGCTGTAGGAAGGGCAGTGCTCAGGCCCCAGGGTATATTTGTGGGGCCTGTCCTGGGAAGGGAGTCCTGTTCCAGTCTCTACCATCCACCCTTTCTGACCAGCCAGGGAGAGGCACTGAAGGCGCTGATCCACCTCCTCCGCTGGGTGGTGTGCTTCCCAGCAGCGACACCGTGTGGCAGCGGGAGACTATGGCAACCCACCCTCAGCTCCACTGAGGTTGTGATATGGGGGCGGTAATGGCAGTGGGGGCGCTGTTCTGGGCTATGCTAACACTGGGTTCAAAGATAATTCAGGGAAGGTCTGCATGGAGCTGGAGCAGTTCCTGATGTCCCTGAGCATGCTTTACCTGGTACCTACCTTGTTCCACCTGTCTCCACTCGGCTCTCAGCTCTTTGTATGATACAGCTATGTAATGGGCTGCCCGGGAGTCCTTCTGAGTCACGGGAGAGCAGTGAGCCCAGGGCACAGCTTGGCAGCACCCTGGTCAGGTCTGGTTTGCTCCCTATGAGTCAGTAGCACTGTTCAGACACCCTTTCGATGGGCATCATGGAACCAGCCTAAAAGGGAAGGGGATCATCCTAAGACTAGGGTGATATGAGGAGGAGATGCCTGAGTCTTTTGAGACCTGAAGATGGGGGTGGCCTAGGCAAGGGAGGTGGCTGAGGGGAGGCCCCAGCTTGGGAGGTATCTCTTATGGCTGGGTCTTGGGTGTTTGCACATGCATGTGTGCCCATGACCCTCTGGCAGATGCATACCTGTCCTGTGACATTCAGTGGGCATGTGTCTCTGGTGTCACCTGCTGAGATGCACTGTGGCACTGGAGAAGTTCCTATGCCAGCTGGTGAATGCAGCTGCTGAGCACTCCACTCTTTCTCAGGAATGGGACAAGGTGGAAACAGCTGAACTGTACAAACTGGGATGGCCGGAGAACTGAGATAGGCCAGGAAGCAGAGTGTCTTTGGGTCTGGCTTGCTCATGGGCCCAAACCTCAGTACAAAGGCAGGTGGGACTGCCAGTCACCCCATGCTTCCCCCTCACTTGTTGCATCCGGATGCCCAAGTTCATCATGCACACCCTTGCTAGCCCCAGCCTCTTCCTGCCCAACCGAGATCCAGCCTAGAACCCCAACTGTCTGTGGTCCAAAGTGGGAAGCCAGGTTGCTCTATTCTGTAGGGGTGGCTCCCTGGGGGTGGGAATGGGAGGCACAGGCTATTGGCGTAAACACAGGAGTACTGATGGCACACCTTCAGGATGTCTGATTCCAGTCTTCAACACAAGCCCTAGAGGCTCTCTTCCTGAGACAGCTTCATGGACATGGAGACCGAGGAACAGAGAGATGGAGCGACTTTCTCAAGACTGCACAGGCGGCTAAGTAGAGTGGTTGTAGGAGGCCATGTCTACCCACCCGCAGCATCTATGGCTGTCTGGACTTCCAGCCACTGTTCATGAAGGCAGGGAGAGGGACTAAGGAATCTGCACAGGGCCCTTTCTGTTCTGCCCGCAGCTGCCCTCCTTGGCAAGAGGACCGTGGCCAGTGTTCACCAGTCTGGCTTTCCAAGAAAGAAGCGACTGCCCAGGGTTTGAACTGGGATGAGGAGGTGGCCTGTCTTGGAGGCTCTGGCACCCCAGCCCTCTGACCCTAGGCATCAGACAAGCCTCTAGCATGACCACATTGGTGGTGTGCGATAACCTGCCAGCAGGAGGGGTAGACACTGCCTTCTTGTGGTCTCTGGAAGCCAAAGTGAAGTATATCCTGCCTTCCCCTTGTTGCCTCTCCCCTCCTCTCCCCTCTCCCCCTCCCCCTCTTCCCCTCCTCTCTCCTCTTCTCCCCCATTCCCTCTCCTTCCCTCCTCTCCCCTCCTACCTCCTCTCCTCCCCTCCTCTCCTTCCCTCTTCTCTCCTCCTCTCCCCTCCTCTCTCCTTCCCTCCCCTCCTATTCTCCCATCTCCTCCCCCCTCCTCCTCTCCTCCCCTCCTCTTCTCCTTCCACTACTGGGCCCCAGCACTGCTACCCTCACCACCGTGGGCATCCTGTCTCCTGGTTCTGTCTTCTGCTCATTGCCGGGGTCAGCTTGGCCTGAGTTCAGGGTCACAGCAAGAACTGGGCCTTCTAAGAAGACACTGCTTCCTTCTGTGTTTGATAAACTGCATTGGCTGGCCTGCAGCTGAGCAGGGCTGTGGGGTGTGGAGATGTTGGAGGTTGGGGAGGAGGAGACTGGGAAATGTGTAAGGCCCTGAAACCTGGGAAGGGCCCTCACAGGAGGAAGGGATGAGGTCATGTGGGTTTGAAGACAGGAACAGCCCCAGAGGCCCCAGGAAGAGGGCAGCGAAGAGTCCTGGATGGAGGCCAGGCTGGTGTGGGGAGGAGGCCCCAAGGGAGGTGCCCAGTGAATGTGGAGGAACCTTTGAGGAGTCGGGTGAAGTTCATAGAGCCCCTGTCCTGTGGACTGGATAGAGCCCCTGTCCTGTGGACTGGATAGAGCCCTTGTCCTGTGGACTG